CGGATGAAGCTAGGAATGTCCTTTAGTTTTAGATTCTTCATTGATGGTATCCAATCAATAACTGTGTTTAAGTGCTCGTTCGTCAAGTAACTCTCATCTGCCAAATTCATCACCATTGGTCAACACAAAAGTAAATTGAGGGTTATAAATATGATCGAACTGCATTAATTTTGTAGGAAGATTAGAAGGATATCAATGCTTTAAAACAGATCTACGGTAATATGGATATTTTCTTACTAAATCGCATGGAAACAAATTACAAGAAAAGTGCAAACTCATGAAAATTGAAAATACTTACCAAACATTTATTAGGTTATCTTATACTCCCTCCGTTTCAAATTAGTTGTCGTTTTGGGAAAATGTATCTGCAATTATTTGGATATATCTGCAATACAAAACACGTCCAGATACATCCAAATATTTGCAGATACATTTTGCCAAAACGACAACTAATTTGAAACGGAGGGAGTAATATAATTAGGGAGTTGCTCTCTCCATCTAGAGTGTCCACATCAGCACAAAACATTAAATTGTATTTAAAATATTTATTAAATATATGACTATTCATATTTCTTTACAAATAAATAAATTAATTAATTAATAGAAAGTATGTGATAATTTGATGTTAAAAGTTATCAAAAAGTTGGAATATAAAATAGAGATGGAGTAAAGAAATATTTAACTTCAAATAGTATATATTTACCTTTTTATTCAAAGGATTATTTTATTTTAAAAATGTTATAATTTGTTTACAAGTTAAAAATTGAATATAAATTAATTAAGATAATAGAAAGCTAATGAAAAATTAGAGTTACAGTTTGTTTTTCTAAACAAATATAAATAGAGTTTTATATGTAAATTTAATTATAGTGAAAAACAAGAATATGTTTACAAATTTTAACCTTCAATCAAATACATATAAATTTTTATAGTCTAATAGAAGTAAAAAAAAAGTAAACAAACATAATATTTATAACATGATAAAATTTTAGAAATAGAAAACTCGAGATAAAGCGGGTGTTAATATCCTAATAAATTAAAATAAAAAACAAATTATTCATATTAGTGTTAGTGGTTGAGTTAACTCAAAATATAACAAAAACATGAAAGTTAACACAAAACTATCATAATTCAAATCAACGAGTATAAATAAAATTAAACAGAAAAACTATCGCAAACAACCCCGCGCTTGCGTGGGGCTTCAAACCTAGTTTATACTAATGGAATCTCTCTGTGGACCTTCTTGGTATAAATACAATTTTTTTTTTGTGTGCGAACTACTCTTATAAATACAAATATTATAATATACAAAATATGATGTTACTATATTAGTCTATGGCTCTACGCTAAAAATGATTGCTAATTGGATATTATGATTTCACAAATTATAAAACTCACCGAGCTCGTGGTTTTAAATTTTTACGGTGAGAATAATATAATAACAAATTAACACATCATGAATTGAAACTATTAATCATTGTAAGAAAACGTACCTTTAAAAGGAGCTATACCCTTCTCGACGAAGAGGTAAAAGTGGAAATAAGCCATGAAGGCACAAGCACTTGTGGTCCAGAAAAAAACATCCGGGACACCGAGTTCCTCTGCAGCATCAAGAGTAAAGCTCATACAACCGTCGGATACGATACAACTCACCGGAGGGACATCACCTCCGGCGTTAATCTTCCGGAGAAGCTCCTTAAACGGAGTGAGACAGTGCTTCATGGTGGAATCGCAAAGGGAAATGATGTCCTGCGTAACGTCCACGTCAGTTTCTGGTAGGCCGTCAGGGATGGACTCGAACCGAAATGAATGAATGCCCTCAAGGGCGTTGGGACCACGGGATCGTAGGAGACGGTTGTTGTTGTAGACAGTGTTGACGAAGGTGACGTGGAAGCCTCTGGCGTGGAGAAGCTTAGCCACTTTAAGCATCGGAGTGATGTGGCCTTGAGCCGGATAAGGCACGCAAACTACGTGTGGTTTTTGTCCTGCATGAGATCCCATTTTCAAGTGTGTGTGTGTATATTTTGTAATGGAGTTATGGACAACTCTGATTTTTCTTTGGCTTAAACTTTGGCATACGCCATTTTATAAGGAGAAACAAATAGGCCAGATTATGTTTCTTGCACGTGGTGGTTGTCGACGAACCTTTCTCACGTGCGAAGTTTGCCCATACTAGGCCATGAGACCACTCGAGGCCGGGATTTGTCAATTTATTTGTGAATTTATAATCCAACAAAAGATAATGTTTATCTACAAGTTGAGCGTATTGCAGAAAAATCAGTCGAGACTTCTTTTTCGTTATTTTTGGTTTTACTTTGGTTTCCTATTGCCAAAAAGAGATTATGACAAAGACAATAAAGCCTAACAACAGACATAAAACCAAAAACCAAAAATCAGATCACAAGTTGTAAAGGATAGGGAACCCGAATTAAGAAAAAAGAGGCTGACTTTTGATCCAGGAGGAGAATGTGGACGAAAGAAACCAAATCAAAGCCGGTACTTGTTACGAGACCTAATCATTTAGGGACTAATGTAGTTAATAAACTATATAAGCATATTATTAAGAGGTATATAGTATCTGCTTATAGTTTATAGTTTTATAATTCTTGTATTACATGAGCATATTTAGGACGTACTAATATTATTCCATGATCTTGTCATAAATGATACTTTTACTCTCTCTCTCTTTCATAATAAGTGTTATTTTAAGAAAATGACATTTTAATGTATTTGGATGTATTAAATTCAAAACATATCTAAATACATCTATTAATGATTCATTTACATTTTCTCAAAATAACACTTATTATGAAATAGAGGCAATATATATATTGTTCCATGATTAACAAGGAGGTAAATTTGGCATTGACGTACCAAATGATTTGATCGTAGAGAAGGGACCACTAGCTTTAAATTTCATTTAGATTTTACTTACGAATATTTTTGGCTGTTTGAGCGAATTCAATAATTTTGGAAGTTTTAAAGGAGTTGTCTTTGTACGGTGCAATCAGGAAAATTAAGTTTATGGTTGTCATTCAAATATTGTCTCCTTTTTGACGTCATTCAAATTCTTTGATAATTCTAGGCATTTACAACTAATGTTATCTGGCTTTTTCAACAATCCATTTTTTGTCTTCGATAAAATAAAAGGGTTTTTCATAAGTTTAAATTAATAAAGTTGATTACAAAAGAATCAGACAATAGCCAATTACAATCATTTAACCATAACAAATGGTTTAAAATCGAAAAGAAAAACGGCATTTTTGAACATGAACTCTTGGCGGATGTGTCATTTAGTACATGAATATGATGTATGAACAATTTTGGTGTGCTAACTAATACACGAAATTTTGCATATCTAACTTTCTATATATGAATCTAAATTTTCACAAAAAGCAACGACCAATCCTATATTATGTGACATAAAACAAAATTTGAAAAGAATCACTAACCAAATTGATGAATGGCTTTGACTTCAGAGGCCAAGTTGCCCTTTCCCGACTTGATTACCCATTGTTATCCTATCATATGAAGTCAAAGTCTGATTAAAAGTCAGTTGAATCCATGATTCTCTATCTATTTGCTATCTTTTTGCATTCTGGATTCATTCATATTGGTTTTCTATAATGAGTCACTTCAATTGCTATAAAAAAACCGCTTCATATTAGAGGAACAATTTTAAAACATTTCCGGTAATTTAAAATTTTATTGCTTAGAGGCTTTTTTTCTTCTTTTTTTTGTCACGGCCGAGTCGAACGGTGGATTTTTTTTACTTCCATGAAAAGAAAATTTGACGTAAAACAAAAATAGAGGAAATTTCCCTTTTTGTGCTAGAACAGGTTTCTCTTTAGTGGTTTTAAAATGTTGGAAACAAAGACATTTTGGATGCACATAACCTTCTTTCTATTTACCAGAAATTTCTGTAAATGTTTAAAAGAGAAATAAGTTTATAAGACAAAATACTCAAATGCGACTACGCCAAAGTCAGTCAAACTCAAACAACTTGTTTGTTTTTTCCTCGATTCTATTGAGAAAATACTCAAATGATCTGTTCCCATCCCAAGATTTCTGGCAGCATCATACTGTACACAAATTGACAAAGTCAAGAAATTACGTTCATGCTCGTGATTCACATAAATGTAAAATAGTGTTTTCAGGGACAGGCCATGTACCCTAGATGGCTAGCAGGCTAGGTCACATAAATGTAAAACACATATTTGTGGAGCCAATGAAATTCAAGGCGAGTTAAACGTTGCAAAAACCCCATAACATGAAACCAAGAAGTTGCAGTAGGGTTACTCAATATTCGGTCTATAAATTATTTGAGATTGTGAATAATTTAATTTCACATCATTGTTATGAGTATCATTCCAAATTTTATCCATATTCGGTCTATAAATTATTTGAGATTGTGAATAATTTAATTTCACATCATTGTATGAGTATCATTCCAAATTTTATCCATAATAAATTCAACGGAGTTTCTTAGCCCACTGGATCTTGGGCTTATTCGTAATGATCCAAGAAATAGGCCTTGTTTCTCAAATAATTGAGTCTAGCTATTACATTTCGCCGTACGTCAGTAGTTATATGATATTATTTTTTCCTAGAATTAAAAATCATAAACATCATTATGATCGTGGGGGAAAAAACACTTTTATGTGTCGACCTAAAATATAATTGCTATGATCATCATCCAGTGTTAAAAATCAGTTTTATCTCTCGCACGGAGTATATCTTGCTAGAGTGTTCCTATTTCAAAAGAGGTATATTTGCAACAGAAAAAGTTGGTTATTGAGTTGTAGTGCTGTAGCCAGTAGTTAATTTGGACCGAAGCTCTCTAGTATATTGCTAGATTGTTTGTTCTAAGTTAAAAATAGACACATGAAAAATGTTCTACTGATTAAACGGTTGGTCCCAATAACAAGGTTTTGGGGCATTAATGATCAAGGATTTCTAAGGTTTATAGAAAGAGAAATATGGAAATTGTGGGATCCGTGACTTCCGCCACCTAGGTTCGAATCCCCTTGGCTATCTGGACTGCCTTAAATGGTAAGAATATGTGGACTGCCATGTACCTCGTGGAATTAGTCTTTAGACCTAGAAAGCTTTTAGGATCACCCACGGTTATAAAAAAAAGAATGAAAAAAAAAATGAAAATTGTAAGTTAATTCGGCTATGAAAGCATATAACAAGAAAACAAAAAAGAATATTGTTAGATTAGGTGAGTTTTCAGAAAATGAAAAAGAAGGGATCATGTAGAAAAAAATATAGAAATAAACAATTGTTCGTATGTCTGGGGTTTGGCCACGTTATATATATAAATATACACTTTCAACTCTTGTCTTAAACAATTGTTAGTATATTGATATATTCTACTGGTGTCTTAGGCATTGGTGCATGAAAGCCCGGTCCTGACCTAGTTTTAGTCATCACGAGTGTAATATCGAAGTATACAAGTTTCAAGTTGTTATAAATGGGTTAAGAACAATTTTTTGTTTTTTGCTTCAAGCCACCATTGACTTGGAGCTGGCGCAGATGCACCAATAGCTGATAAACTAGAACTTCTCTCCTCTTCTCATATGTTTCTTTAACTTCTAGGTATGATTTGATTCTACTCTCTAAATTTACAAATCTCTGTATGACCCGAGAATCATAGCTGGTAACCGTTTGTTTTATTTAAATTGCACATTTTTTTAACCAAAATAAGAAGATCAAAAGGGTAGAAGTAAATTTACAAAAAAAAGTATAATCAATGACGTTGCTAATGACTTTATATTTGTAATAAGCACATTAACCCCAAAGTCAACACACCTAACATTGTGTCTCTCTCTTCTCTCCTGTCGACCAACACATTGAAGAACAAGACTCCGTGGGGTCAGTTGATTATAACCACCTTGTGATCTGTGTGTAGTACGAATTCAAAATAATATAAGTATAATTTTGTGGTCGAAAGAATATGCTCTTCCTTTCAATCCATTTTTCAAGCCTGCATAACACGTTATTCTATACCTATGTCCATTATATGTGGTCCTTGAAATTATTAGCTAAGAGACAGGATCATATGTTTTGTTTTGCTTTTTATAAACGGAATGATTTCATGAGTTTGTTTTTCATATAATGAAAGTTTTCAGTCTTCATTCGACATATATAGGACCAGTTTTAATAACACATATAAAAGCATTAGAACACGAATTGGGTGAGACTGAAAATAGCTCTTCTAATGATACAATATAATAAACCTTTACCAAAACAGTTTGGTGAAAATGAACATGTCTAAGTCGAGAAAACTTGAAACTATATATAAACATTTACAAATAGCAATAAATTAAATCTGTAAGTGGGAGTTGGCGAAGTAGAAGAATGGTGGGCTTCCGCTCTTCACGACTGGTGTTAGGTGAGAGAATAGCTTTAGTCAGCCTCAGTTGATCCCTATCCATTTTTATCAATGAATCTACTTGTAATTTGTAAATGTAAATAATCTCTTACTATTTCAATTCCACATACTTACTAATAAGATAAGCTCATGGAGAACTATAGTTGACGAAAAATGCATTCGTAAAATTATAAACAAGTGGGGTGTTTTTCACGTATGATTTAAGCAAATAAAACATACTAATACTAATATTGATTAAAACACAAACAAAAACTAGATTATGTAGAAACAAACAAACGATAAATATTTCTTGACCATGATCATCTTAACTATAAAGTATAATAAAATCTTCTCACCGAACATTAGCAGCAAAACACATGCAAGTTGATTTGGATCCATTCATAAGGAAGCTAAACCGAATGCATACGTTTCCGATTTTATAAGACGACACGTAAACCGGTTATCGTTTGAGATTGAATTGACTAATTTACCCTTTCCAACAATCCCTGACAAAGGATTTACCCAAAATACCCTCATAATTGATCTACCTACCCCCAACACAACAAAAGGCTTTCACCAAACACAAACTACTTCTCGTTATAAAACCCTTAAATTCTCCTTCCAA